CGCCGCCATGCTTTTTCTGCTTTTTATGAAAACAAATTCACTGTGCATGCGCGTTTTACCCATATTCTATCGCGATATTTCATTTTCTTATCGTTGCCCAACATTATCCCAGTATTACCGTGAAAGGTATGATATGCCCCAGCCCTACTATGCGGCAACACGATGAATGCTTTGGATCTAACAGTCACAAAGGAGGAGGCATATTCCTCTTTTTTCCCTTTAATGTTGGCCTGAACATAGAGGGCACAGACATGTTCATACCTAACAACCTTTGTCTGATAGGTGTTGGAGTATATCCAGCCATTATAGTAACATCAGTAATGGCAGGAGAAATATAAAACGAAGCACTTATTTTAGTTCAAAACACAGCTGAGACACAGACGTTTGGATGTTTGGGTTCTTATCCATCACAATCATGTTGCTATCAGGGAGCTTTCTAAACTGCCCGTTTTCATTCTGTTTAATGTCAGTGACCATAAACTTACAGTCGCAGTCAAAAAGAATTAACTAGGAGTCCTGAAAAAGATGTTGTGGCAGCTCACATCACCCTGATCTCAATATTATGGAGTCAGCGTGAGACTGAAATCCCGCTGGTGCCTCAATCCACAGAAGACGCTCGGAAAAACATACCCGCAAAGTCAAATCTGTGCTTGCGTACAAGAAGGAGAATAGTTGCTGATAGTCAAGCTCCTCAGAATCAGAGAGGCTCGACTCGGGAGGCAGACGCCCTCTTTAAGATTCAACTCACAGCTTTGCTTTTTGATAAAGTTTTTAGTTTGAGCTCGATCAGGTGACCCTGAATATCCCCTTGTTATGCTGCTAAAGGCTCAGGCTCCTGGAGGACTTTCAAGTGATGCACTGAGCACTTATTTTCCACTCACGTCTTTTCACTCCCCACCTGTTTATACACCACTGCTGCATTTTTGTCTTATCTCTCCATCCGCCTCTATTTCGTCTTGTTTCTCCATCATCTCTGCTGGAGATTTCTTCCTGTTAAAATTGAGTTTTTCCTTCCCACCATCACAAAGTCCTTGCTGATAGGTTTTCTCACAAACACCTTACTGTCCCTTGTGGCGACTGTTGTTGTGATTTGGTGCTATACAAAAAGGATAC